ATGGTAGATACGCCAACAGAGGAAGTAATTATAATGATTTAAATTTTAATTCTTCACAGTTTAGAATGGACTTTACAGCTTGAAGCTTTTTCTTACAAATTTAATTTTGGACGATATAATTGAGGGTGGGAGGATCCTTGACTGATCAATGAGGGTTATTTTTTATGAAAATAGTTTTGCTAACCAAATATCTCACACTGAAAAAAGCAGACAAATAGAAATTGCAAAATACGCATCAACATGTCTTTGACGTTTCGAAAATCAATCTGTTTATCGAAGTCTGAAATGACACTTTGTTTTAAATGAGTTAAGACAGTTTAAATTTGCTTTATTTGACGGTTTTTATAGCTACAAATATAATATAATGTTTATTATACGCTGGCTTCTTTTAGTACTTGTAGCCAAGAAATAAATTGATAGCCTATTTCATCATTATCCAGCCCAGAAACAAGGTGTCATCAACATCATCAAAACCGATCCTAAACACTTAGACGAGGATTTACTATAATCAGTTCTCAAAGGAAATGTTTATACTAGCAAAAATATTGATCAAGTCATGAGTAGAATACGTAAGACGAAAGGAAAACAAAGAAATATCTGGCTACGAGGATACAGGGATATATACACATTAGGTCGTTCCTTAAGGACAGACGATTTTAATACCGTCTTTAGCACCTTAAGAAATATAGAACCAGCTTTTCCTAGTTGCAAGAACGATATACTCCAGGGTCTCAGCGTATATAATATCCTGGATGAGCAAGGAGATACATTAGCAATAGGTTAATGGGATACAAGTGTGAATAAGTAAGAAAGGAATAACAAGAGAGATAAATCAGAAGTTTGGGAAGCAGGTCAGATACACTGCATTTAATAGTCCTAAACAATATCAAAGTTCTAGTAAGGGAAAAAGAACATTTTTGTCAGGACGAAATAAGTTCAACAGAAAAACCAACGACGGTAAACCGAAATCTATAGATTAGCACACTCAGCAAATATAAATCCCGACCAGAGGGCTTAATCTTTAACTTCAATGTTATAAGCACCAACGTTCTTAGACTTTATTCATGTGAAAATGATTATGAAGAAGTATAAAGAGAATTCCATCTTCTTTTTTTACAGTGGTCACTATGGGTAACTTGAACAATATTTATTGAAGTTGCTTTAAAATAGATGGAACTCTCGCACAAATTTTTCTTGATATCGTTTTCATCAAAATGACAACAAGCTGACTCAAGGGTCAACTTAGGAAGTATAGTGCAGTTTACAGGTAAATTGAAGCCTCCTAACTAAAAGAAACAGTTTTAGAAAACTATGAAAACTGCTGAAATTGAAGGAAGATGTGTTTAAAACCTTAATACCTTTCATAACTTAAACACCTCTACTACACTCCTTCTTCCAAACATTTTTTTCCGTCCCATATTTTCTTTTCCTGTTAAAATTTTCACCTGCTATCTACGCACTAGGAACAAACACCGCGGTCCCTGCGGGTCGTTTTAAAGTTTCATATTAAGCGTGTCGCCCTCACTCCCGGAGAAAATCCTAGCTACGGGAGCACCTGTTGTGGTTGGCGATGTACCCGATTTAATATGCAACAAAGAAATTCCACGGCCTGAGGCGATTTACCCTACGTACTCGCCTTCCTCGCAAACTAAATTATATCCTGTCGGACCGCATGCATGATGCATTTTTATAAAAATTTAATTAAACGTCCGAATCGTAATTGCGGGGCCGTTTTAACGTATACGGCAGTGGCAAATTAATTCAGCTAGGATATTATACTCGCTGTTGCAGTGGATAAACGCCGTAAAGGAGGTGGAAGGGGAAGGAATGATATCTGCGAAACTGGGATAGTAAAACCAAAATAAATCTAGTATTATCAAGTAATCTAGTAATGGGGGGTTGTAAACAACTGCAGAGGGTTATTCCAAGACCTACTATCTCTTAATTATTAAAATTCAATCATACTAATACAACTAAGATAATATCAATGATCGTTAACACGTGGTGTATATTTATCCACCAATCTTATTGAATTTTAGAAGAAACTCGGTTAAATTTGGGACAAATTCACGATAATATATTTACTATGCCTATGGTTTTTGTATTAGGTCCTGGAAACAATTATTTTAACTCTTCTTATGGAGATATATCTTTTGCAGAATTTTAAAATAAAATTTAATTCACTTATACCAGAAACACGTTTACTTGGTTTAATATTAAGTCTATATCCCTGTTTAAGAGTTTAAAAACCGTTTCTAAATCCTTTAGACTAGAATACTTTTTAAGTTCACTGAAGTTTACTGTATATAAGAATGTCGTCTGTAATCTAATAAAGTCAAGTTCTCATAGAACTTCATTCATAAATCTTTCAAAGGTTTAGCAGACATTTCTTAAACCAAAAGGCAACCACATAAATTCGTAAATTGTGAGTGGTTATGAATATTTTCATCTAGTACAGAAGATTTAAAAAATATCAATTTCCCACTACCTTAGAGAAAATAAAACTTTTATCATTCTTTTGAACTCTATTTATATTATTAGTAAAACTTTCCATGAACCCGCTTCGGTTTTGTTCCTATTTCTAATTTTTTTATTTGATCTTTTCCATAGAAAAATATTGCTGAATTTATCTGACGATTAACATTTGTCCGAGAAACCTTAAACTTGCCCTTTGGAATTATAAAATTATAACGATAATAAGAGGATAGACCAACTTCACCTATTTATTATTTAAAAACTTCCAAATCAATAATCGATTGCTTCAAATTGGCCTCTATCAGTTCTATAGATAGTTTATAGTTATTTAATACACTACTAGCGACACCTGGGTAGAGTCCGTCAATGTTATTTGAAAATCGATACATGCAAACTAGGTCGCTAAAGATATAATATTCAGGAATTATTGATGATTTCGATGTTCATTTTCTATTGATCTTTTAATGTCTCCAGCGCCACCTTTGTGGAATGACAGAAGTTACTGAAAATTGCCACAAAGTTTTCTAAAGTTCAAAAATTGTAAATGCAAATAGATATCTGTAAGGTAGGATCATTTTTCATGGTGATACTGATAGATTTTCTTTTTTTCTGTTGATTTATTATTGTTAGACGCTTAAAGAGGGCATGTAACAAGCAACCTGAGTATTTTGTTAAAAATAAATACGTACAATAAACAAAATAAAGTATAGACGTTAACAAGCAATACATTAAACGTTATTTTAATTGAATAATATGTGTATGTGTTGGATTGATTGTTTTTCCAAATACCTTTAATACTTGAAACGTTTTTTGTATAAATTTCAATATATTTTACTTTAGAATTATACTTTTATCATGTAATTTACCCGCTGCTGGGTGGAAAAATAATCAACTGTTTATCTCTAAAGTTTGATTTTCCAAATCGTTAGTTTTACTCCATTATATTGCGGTGAATACCTATCAAAGGTTGGCAAGTTTATCCCTACTTTGAGAGAGCTGTCAATACAAAAATGTTTTCACGAACTTGAGGGTTTAATCTCCTTCATAAATACTAGCAACATAGCTCCAGTTAAGCAAGTTGCACGATTACTTCCCTTGATGGAATAAGAAGTATGGAGAATGCTGAGTTAATGCAACGAGAAGCAAGATTTTGTGTAATAAAATCCCTAGATTGCCCAAGTTCTCATTTTGCGGTTTGACACGTGTTTCTAAATACTCTGCTGAATATAAAATATTACCTATCTACATTTTTAAAATTTAATTATTAGTGCCATTTATACCAAAAGACTATCAAAATTCAGTTCTTTGCATTATATTCGGTGAAAGTGTTGGGTTATTGTATAATAAAATGTTCAAAATTCTTTTGTATATTAATGGATGCGAAAAAATGTGTTTCAGTTTCAAATTGGCAATAGGGATTTTCCTCCAAAATAGCGAATGACTGCGATACTACATCAATCTAGGGAATTTATTGTGTAGACTACAAAAACATATTGCCACGAAGGACAGTTGAAGGACAGTTATTATCCATTGCCAAGGATAGACGACACACTGGACACGTTGTCTGTACCTACCTCAACGGTTTTTCACACTAGATCTGAAAAGCGGCTATTGGCAAGTGCCATTCCCTCTATATAATAAACGTAATTTAACGTAACCACAATTTGGTGTTTGTGATTGGTGGCCACGCCTGAAATACTTATGGAAACAAGTATGTGTGGAATAAATTAGAAAACTGGTCTTATTTATCTTGACGATATCATAAAACTTGACAAATATTTTGAGAATCCTTTAAAAAAGTCCAGGAAGTATTTCAAAAGCTGAGAGAAGCTCGACTGAAGTTCCAAGAAGTGTCTGCTCTTTGAGAGTAAAGACTAAACTAGAAAAAACCTGGGAATTATCAGTACCTAAAGGCAAACATGTGTTAGGAGTTGCCGGGGACTTTTCACTTACAATCAGAAGTTTAGAAACGTTAAGGTAAATAAATCAAGGTGCGAAAATTAAATTTGTCGGAAATTTTATATTTTACATATATTTTTTTAATATGAGTGAATCATTTTCACAATAGAAGTCACAAGTTAGTTAGTAGAATTGATAAATATCTAAACTTAAAATAACAATTTTCCTGTTTACTACAAAAATTATAATGGACAACACATCATTTGTGACAACAACTATTTCCCTCTTTTTATGAAGTAGGTATGGAACTCGGGATGATTTCAGAAGTTCTCAATGACAATTTTGATTGTTATTAATTTTAATTATTAATTCTGATTAATGCATTCTGCCTACTATTAAAAGGATATGGATGGTATGAACATGTACAGTTGGGAATATTTTTGAAAGCCAGTATTATCAAAGTCCCAATAGACGCTTTGGCTTTCAATATTTCGTTTGCACTCTACCATCTGAAAAGTATATATTACAGCGAACTCCAGCTGTCAACTTATTTCATTTTATTATATCGTTTCCATCGGGCTAGTCAGTAATAAAGACGTATTGGTGGGGAATAAGAAAATTGCGAGTTCGTTGAAACTTTTATTCGAATTTTTGTACACACATAAAGTATTTCTAATTTATTCAATATTTTACAGTTATAGTACCTACGGTTTGACAATTATTTTAAGTTTGCTGATAATACTTTCAAGTCTTTATGCTGCGGTGCATCCTTTTTGGAACCTGGGTGGAATGTAGGACTTCCATAAGGTCACATCAAATTATTTTCTGAAAAGCAAACTCAAATAAATATATGCTGTATATTTGAATGAAATAATAGGAAAATTAATGTAAAATCTTACTCTATCATGTCTTCTGTAAGACAGACGACATTCATATAACCACTGATGTCATCTTCCGTTAGCTGCCTGAAGTAAATAGTAACTGAATTGTCAAATGCTCCTGAAGATACAAGTCGAACTGTTGTGGTGTCACAGGCTATCTTCTCCACACGTTTTCCTAAAAATAAACAACATAATTAATACGAAATTATTACTAAAGAAAAGATTTATTTCACATTTTCAATTAATAAACGTTATATTACACCAGTGGGGTACCATACATATACAAGATGCGTTCCAAACTAAACAGGATTATTTAAAAAAATAAGAACAAAAAGTTTATTTGTCTAAACTAATTTATTTTATTTTAAATAGTCCCCTAATTGACCTATGACAAACATACTGTCACGTCAGATGCAATAACTCCACTTCGATTGGTCCAAATGTCATGAAATTTTGACAGTACATCAGTGAAGGGTTCATGTAATTGCCAATAGATGGCCCCACTAGATAGATCTATTTTTGAAAAGTCCTGTTTACCTAGGAACGCACCTTGTATAAAAGCTTCAGCATTTTGACCAATAACTGAGAAATAAGCGACCATTCATTCTGCCAGGCCATCTACCAAAGAGTCCCACAGTTCTATATTATTTATTGACCTATAAAAATTGTTTCCCCGCTGTAAGAGATATTTATTACGCTCTTGTCAGCTTTTCCCCATTCATCCTTTCCGCCCCCTTCTTCCCGTTGGCCTTATGTTTCAATTTTTCGGCAATGAAAATAGATAAAATATTTACGGCCATCCATTTTGTTTCGGAGGTGAATGCAAACTTGAGGTTGTGGGCGGTTGGGAATTTTATCGAGCGGGATCATAAATCAAAGGCTTGTTTATAATTTCATTGTTGCCGCAACGTCCTCCTTTGTCAACGTGCCTTTAAAAGGCAGAACTTAGCGCGTTTCAAAGCAAATTAGATTGTGAACTATGAAAGGCGCAAATAAAGTAGTTAGGCAGTGCGTTGCAGAAGTTAACAACACATTTAAGATAACAAAAGCGATATGGCGTTAATGTAAAGATATCTGAATTGTTTCGAGGAAGACAATGGGTCTGAGTATGTGGCTAGGTCACCAGATTTGAGTCCAGTGGATCTTTTTGTTTTAATTAGTAGGGATTGTATCCAAATTTCCTCATTGTTTTGACATAACCCACAAAAAATTATATACAAGGTGTCTGTTGAGCTGCACAACTAGGATCTCGGTTAGTTTAAATGATATAATGATTTTTTTTATCCTCTTCGTAAAGTGTCAATATAATTGTCACTGTTTAGTTAATCAGTAAAAAATCTTCACTTTTTTGCGCCATAAATAGAGGACTGTTGCCTTTATTGTCAGTTTGCAGCAAACTATCAAATTCCGTTTAGCTCCCATGAATAAGTTAAAAAAATAATAACACACTAATCTCCTAATGCGTATAAAAAGTACACCAGCGCACTATTAGAAAATCTGTTAAACATTCAAAATTCGAAACTAAATTTGTTGTGAAGAAATTTAGTGCTTGGCAGCATGACAATTTACAATGAGATGAACGCTCTAATTGACAGAAGTAATAAAATAATTTTGAATTGCGTTACGTGTCACTGAGAAATGACAAATCAAGGATAGGACAGAGTAAAAAAGTGGCTATCTCGGTGACCGCACTAGTCAACCTATATGTATTTTGATGGGCTGAATGCGAAACCGTCGCTAATTTGACTTCAGCATCGACAGGATTTCAGTAAAGCGCTAAAAATGGCTGAAAATACAGAAAAATCGTGAGAAAGCCGACGAATGTTGATCAGCAATGTTTTGAACATACATATTTATTTGGACCGAATAAAGCCTTAACCTTATGTATTTTAATTTTCTAAACACTGGTTAATCATTGTAGACGCGCTGAATACTATTCTGATATTGGTTAAGTTTCTTGAATTTTCCTTTTGAAGAAAAAACGTACTCTTTTGTTCTTGAACGACTAACTCAACTCTTTTTAGTAACCAACACAAGTCGGGCATCATATTAACATTCCGTATTGCCTGGTATCTTCCTTGAATTTCTTTCAGATCTTGATAAAAACATTCACCCTTCTCCTCGCTGTAATCATCTAAGTTTTCAGGGAAGTAGTGCAGGTGAGAACCCAAGAAATGAATTTTGCCACTCAGTATATGTCATTGTTACGAAATGTTTATCGAGAAATATTTTTTGGATTTGAGATCCATCGAATATATTAAGCCTTGCCAATTTTTTCATCAGACCGAGTTTAATATAAAGCACAGGGAGCAGTATTTTCCAAGGGTCTATCAAAGATTATTCTATAATATTGTGATTTCCAGGGTTGAGTGTCATTTTTTCCTTTTGTAATGATTGTTTCGGTCTTTGATAAACCCTGTCTGCTTCCTCAAAATGGTTCATATGATTTTGAAATCACCTAGACTTGTCAAATATTCTCTGTATTTTTAATATTCTACAAAGCATACCTCATGTTTTCACAACTTTCTTTTACTGTGGTTGAGTGTACAATGGGAATGCATCTGTATAGTACATCAATCAACCACCGTGTTCTTTCTTGAAGAACTTTCAAACCTCCTATCGATTGCTGTAAAAAGTTGATTTAATTTCTGGTACTACCAATCCATGACTTCAATTTCGCAGCCAAAATTCAGCCTCATCTTTTGAAAGACCTATTTTTCTATCAGATCATTTGACTCCTTCTAATTAAAAGGATCTGGACGTTTTGTTTCACCTTCGAGTACGTATTCATCTACGCTTGAGTATTTCAGCTTAAATGTCTTACCCTTCCCCTTCAACATTCTGGTCTTCTTCTTGCTTGTACCACTGAAGAACACTAGGCTGTAGTATTTTCGATCTACCTTCCGCTTAGAATTATAAATGATCAAACTGGATCTTTAATCCTTTTTTTTTCCTTTTTTTCAATTGGAGAAACCGGTGCCAGATTCTTATAGTAAAAATAACGACGGCTCCTTAGTCGAGACTTCAGTCCTTTTTTTTTATTTTATGTGCCTGTGTTACATAGATTCTTTGAAAACCAATTATTATTTCGCGCTTTTTTTATTTTATAATGAAGTTAAGTCAATTTATTTGTTATTTCAAATTTCATTTATGACACCGACTCTATTAACAGTAATCAACCATGTATCCGTTACGATCGTGATAGGCTCATTTCCGGAACTGTTAAATACCGAACATGATGAAGGCGGGTTGCGGTTAACAATGTCCAATTTGAGGTCGGCTCGGCTTATTTGCAAAACCGGAACACATGTTTCCCCAGCCAAACACGGGGTTGGCGTGGAGCTTTTCCGGTGCTGGGTATATTTATAATTAATAATGCCTTTAACCGCTTTCAGGAATATTACTATTTGACTACAATTAAGGGCGATGCATAAAGCATGTCTTGTGTGGTCTGAGTCGATTACTTGAGGAGTTCTAGAAGAATAGAACACACCGAATAAGATCACCGCAAGCAAAAATATATATATTGGAGTACTTAGTACATTGATGATTGGCAATATTTGTAGAAAAGTAGCAGGACAAATAAAAGAGCAATTTTAAAAATATTTTTCAATGGGATACTGAGAGATGATATTGTGGACTATTTTGGTGTAAGAGATAGAAAATCGAGTGAATAGAACGTGGATCTATTGATATTGATATTTTTTCAAATTCATTATTCAATAACACAACGTACGTAATTTTTTTAGCACATGTACCAGTCGCCAGTCGTAGCAGGCAAAAAGTATTTGTTTTTGGTAGGTATTTTGGGTATTTTAAATACTTGGAGTAATTTAAATACTCAAGATTATTTAAATTACTTTCAGAAGATTTTAAATACTTTTTAAAATACAAAATACAAAATATTTTTGGGGTTATAAAAGTATTTTAATTACAAAATACAAAATACTATTTACTAATTAAAATACTGTTTGGTATTTTTTTTTGCCAAAATACTCCCAGCTCTCTAAGGGATGATACACCATTAAAATATGATCGTTTTCAACAAAATCACCAATAACTAATAATACTTATTGCAGCTTATTTAAAATCATCGAAAATTCAAAAGGTGGCTATAAATATTTTCGAAATTTGACACCCATTTTTGAGGCCTATAACTTCTCAGGAGTGCAGTTTAGTATAAAGGTAAGTTGCGTTTGTGGGTTTGTAAGTGATCCGTTTTAAGTATTACGTCAAGAGCGCCAGCCTGACACCGGCCTAACCGTTGCAAGCAACAAGAAACAATGATTAACGCGGGATATGGTTCCCGGAAGAGGACCACGACAGATTGGCGCCAAGGACTAGATACTTATACCTGCGAGGGACTCCACATCACGCAGACTCTTCAGCGAAAGCTCGCCCCGGCAACATTTCCTTTTCACTAACTTTGTTTTCAATAAAAAATACTTTTATTTTTACCGTTGAGAGAGGGTTTTATTTTGCTGCACACCGAAAGCAACCCTCACCATATTTTGGGTTCGCCCTCAGTTCTTATGCGAAACACCCTGTATTGATATAAGTTAATAACGTTTTTCTAAATACGCCTTTTTATTACTATAGACTTTGGACTTTTTCCTGTCCCATCTACGTTGACTTTGCAAACCTACAATTGTATTAATAAACCTTTAATTTCTGTTATTTTAGCATTTATTTTATTTTTGTTTCCACTTTTTTTAACTCATTCAACAAGCACTTTGTGTCTTTCACGTTCCTTCTAAGAAACAACCTGACGTAGGCGGGACAAAACATCTCCCCATATAAAATAATACAGTTTTATTATTATACATTTCGGTACCTTAAATATTTTATATTAAATGTATGAATACCTCGAGTTAATTCAAGTCCATTCATATTTTTTCGGTAATTTATTACACTCCCACTCCACCGTTCACTGTAAAGAATTCTAAAGATGCTATTCACGTCCCAGTACCTTTACAGGCGTGTCAACCTTATTGCCTATTGCCTATTGCGAGGGACTCATTCACTCAAATGTATAAATCAGCATACATACATACCTGCTTTCGAGTCCAGCCCACACAGGGAATCGGCCACTTGCATATTTCCATTATCCAGTCCAGGGGAACCCCCTATTTGTACGTAGTCATCCAGTCCTCGTTTCTGGCACTGGAATCCAAATAAACGGTTAAGCGAAACTGTATGTATAGAGCTTGCAGCAATACGCACAATGCAAGCGAGACCAAAATGATTGAAGCGAAATATACATGCAAGCAGCAGCCTTAGATGCAAGGAGCATCGAACATAAACACAGTTAAACATGAGAGCGAATAAACGAAAAATAAAAATGAGAGTAAAATAACATAAAAACATAAAACACACCACAGAAATGAGACAACCCCCAAATCCAAAAGCCAAAGGCTTGTGCGGAAGGGAGCTACACTTGAAAAAACGCGGACAAACACCCATTATCCATCCAAAGTATTGATGAGGGCACGTAACAGCGAAATTATGATCTATAAACACTTTGCTTAGTCGGTACGATTTGTGAAAAGAAGTATTATCAGCAGCACTCAACAGTAGACATAAAATTTCATTGATCGATCGATCGATTGATGACAAGGCGATCTAAAATTTTATTATTTTTTCTTTGTTGTTAAAATATTACTACTAAATTGTAACCAAATAGGTTCAGCTATAACTTGTAGCACTTTTAGTCGAACCTACTTCTGCAACAACAAAGGGATTCTTCCAAAACTCTGAATATTAATAATACAAAATTGTTTATCAAATAAAAATTGCGCCCTGTATTTTTCTCCCCTTACTTTGGTGAACCAATATTGGGTATAAAATGTACCGTTTAAAAAATTTAGAAGTTCCGGTTTTAGATCATGGAAAACTTATTTTTTTTTAATAGAACGCTCTGTTTCTAACAAACAAATATAAAATTTAATTTTCTTTCGATTTTACTAAGGTGCGTTAAGATTTATGTTTGATCTTTCCATACTTTTTTGTACATATGTATGTTCGTTAAAAAATCACTGCCACATAATAATATGATGTGGTAAGGTCGAATTCAGATTCAGCGCAACAAAAACCTTGAAAACTATAATGTAGTTTCTGTTAAATTTTTTCGGTATGTAATTTTGTATGTTTTCTTTTTTTATCGATTGTTTTATTAGTACGTATTCTTAAGACTATGTGCTGACTTAATATGGTCATATTTTCAGAAAAATTCTAGTATCATTGACAATAAATTTATGTGCACATTGGTTTCATTTCTCTATAGTTAGGCAATTTTTATGTCAAATGATGCTCAGATATAATCTTCGCAGTTCAGTAGGATTTATACCAATTTGTTCAATTCCGTGACTTCCGGTCTGTGAGATTCATGCAGAGATCAGGTATAATACAGGGATCAATTTTGGGCCCACTCTTGTTCGTAATGTTTATTAACGACATAACATCAAATCTCAATGGAGTGTTCTGTTTGCTGTATGCTGTTGACCCAAAACTGTTTACCAAAATTAAACTTATGTATGATGTGCAAAAGCCTATAGTTGTCATCAAATGTAACGTTAATTATTTCTACTTTTATTTGTACTGTAGTTGCAATCAGTTACACCAAAATAACCCTTTTGAAGCCCTGTTAAATACATTTGTAGCTACCATCTGCACATACAACTTCTGGGTCAGTTTTCCTTTTTCCACATAATTTTTAAAAGTCTTCGTATTCATGGTACATTTAATTTCAATAATACTGTCTTCGCAGATTTCATCAGGCGATCCTGCTATCGTGGGATAGTTTTTGCAAAGCATTATACCACATTTTTTAATTTTTTCCCCCAAACTGGTACTTATTACAACTTACTTACTTACTTATTACAACATTCTATCGCGTTTCAAGATTCCTATTTTACGTATGGTAAAAAAATCGCACAGCTTCGTAAAAAAATCGTACAGTTTTCCTAGCAACCGCCTAGCAATATAAACAGTATTATATTGACCGTTGCTAGGCGGTTGCTAGGAAAACTGTGCGATTTTTTTACCGTACGTAATAGGAATCTTACATTGATCGCAGACGGTGTGTTTTTAAGTATTTACAGTAGTGGGCGTAGGTAAAGTATAGTACGTAATACGTGGTGTAATGCAATTACGCACTCGCCGCTACGCGGCTTCATGCGTAACTTTTCCATTCGTGCGTAAAATGCTTTTTACAACACTTATTACGTAATATACTATAATATCACCGCGATAGAGATTAATATGTATTATGAAAGCTTCATCTCTGTACTCATTAATTACCATGACGTGGGGTAGGCACAGAATGGATATATTCTTTTGTTTAATTAAACTAATTAAAATACCAATTTTTTACTTATTCGTTATTATCTCAAATTATTTTTTGAAGATGTGAAGTATGTAGATTTTGATGAAAGATTTTATTTATAGATCATCTTTGACATTCGTTTTTTTAGGCAAGACTTCTGTTTTGTAGATGTGTAGTTTTACAGAATATTTGACATGAGCCTATTTATATATTGTCCCTATATTTTATATCTGATCATATATAAATAAATGAATTAATTAAATGAATTAAATCACATTTTGTGGAGAACTTGTAGAATTCAAATGAATTAGTCTAATACCTTCAACGTAAATAGTCATTTAGCTTTGACTGTACATACATACATTTTTAAAATATCAACTACATGAACAAAATTATTATCAAAGAGAGTATTTAAACTTTTTTCGGTGTGATGGAATAACATACCCGAAGATAAACAAAACTGTTTCAATTCCGACCCATTTTAACCAGTTTTGTAGCTTAACGAATTACTTATAGTTCTTTTAACATCGGCTGTGTTAACAGTAGCCGAGTTTCCACCAACTCGATTTTAAATTTACCTGTCATTTGCATTCAAATGGACCCTAGGTCCATCGTACACGGGAAAATGTGTTTCGCTTTGGCCAGAATGGAGTTAGAAAGACAACGTTAGCGAAAATAAATTTAGTCGGGAAAAACAGCAGTGGTCGCTTAATTCGACAAATTGCGTTGTTTTACTCGTACTTTTTATCTACACGGAAGGGAAGGGTTCCCTGTAAACAAGAAATTTGTACCGTGCTTGTGAAATTGTGTCGTAAAGAGAAATTTTTGTAACTAATTTGTGAGACTCCGCAACGAAATTTAATCGGCAACTGCTATATAATTTTTCGTTTTAGATTTTTTTATTTCATCCTCTCCGGCCAGCTTCCAGTAACTTAAGTTCAAAATGTGTGAAATTATCTCTAATAACTATGATATTTTTCAACTGACAAGCATTAAAAAAAAACTTGATCGAACTCACTTAATATGAAATTACCTCAAAAGGTATTCAATTAAGGTACAGAAATTGATCAGTGGAGAGGCTGCCAATCGTAGATAAATTGCCCAATTTGCATTTTAAGAGGATGATATTCGCGTGTTTAATATTTATTCTGAAGCGCAATTTCTCATATGGATACACTGTTCCATGGCGTTTCCAATTATTACTAAAAAAACGTACTCTGACGTATATTTGCTCTGTTCGATCAATTTTCGCAATTTGAATGAACATCGTTTTTATAATAGCAGGATTAAATGAAATGATTAAATGTTTTTATAGTTTTCAGTTAGAAGACAAAACTGAGTATACAGGGTGATTTCACTTTAAATACAGAAACTACCAAAAAATAAGTAGTTTGCTCTAAAAACTTTTTTTTGTTGGGAAAACGGAGCGGCACCTTCAGTAGCACGCCACTGGTTAATGCCACGAGGTTAATATTTCATCAATAAAAGGTCTAAGATATGACCGAAAATATAATTTTTTTTGGAAACTTGACCACCCTGTATCTCAAATACCAGATCCCTCAGGAAAAAGTTTATAGAACGAACTTGACAAATGAAATCACCCTGTTTAAAAAAACATCCACAATTAAAATAAACTGTTCTACTACTAAATTTGTAGGAATTTTTAAATCAACTGATTCTCATGCCATATATTTCTCTCCGCTCGATCTCTTTCTGTCCGATGTCTTCTGATTAAAACCTTCCCACGCTATTCCCCTTTTTGTTCTTCCCTCAATCCTCTCTATCCATCTTTTTCTTGACTTTCCTCTATAGTTTTCCCTATTTTCTTCAGTTTATAAATGGGAATCATAAATTTTACAATGGGACCTGATTTAATTCGTGCATTTTTCGTAAAAGACTGTAAAGGAATTTTTGCAAAACTTTTGGTAACTATATTCAGTTCTATAGTTAAATGCAAAGAATATCCACAAATATGGAAAGTGCCGCGAATATGTCCCGTTTATAAAAAAGTTAGTTAGACATAAATCACTACCGCTCCATTGCCTTTATAAGTAACTTTAAGTAAAATATTTGAAATAATTCTACAAATTCAACTTCATCTTCATGTTGAAAAATTAATATTTCGGTATTAACATGGATGTATGAGTGGTTGTCCTGCTACTGAAAACCTAGTTGAGAAAAAGATTTATTGCTGAAAATTTGGATGCAGGTTAGTATACCGATTTTTCTAAAGCATTTCATTGGCTTGATCGCAATTTATTAACAGTGAAACTGGAATCATAAGGTATCTCCCTTGCTCTGTTAACCTTGTTTTAATCTCATTTTAGCAATAGATACCGGTTTGTACAGTATCCTGGATTCCAATTGTGCAAATTTCATCAATCTTCAGGGATTCCACAAGGCTCAATCCTTGTGCCACTAATGCTTGTTATTTTTATTAATGATCTAACTGAATGTCAATTGTCTTGATTTTACCAGAAAAAACATACTTGAACGCTGTCGTACGAGGAACTGCACAATCTTTAAGGGAAATACTACCGGTTTCAGCTGATTTTATGAATGATTGAACTGAAAAGACTGAAAATATTTAGATCAAAACAAATGAAGATTCATTTTCACTAGATTGATCATCAGTAAAGAAATCAGTGATACACCAACGTCGTTAAAGTTGCTGAAAATTTTATTCTACAACAAATATGACAAAAAAAAAAAGAAAACATTCCCAAACCAATTGTAAAAAAGCTATGCATGCTCTACCTCTGACCGCACCTTGTGGATGGTGCCCGTTTCAAATTCGATACCCCTTCCGTTGCTGGGGGTGACCCCGATGTTCAAGGAAGCCACGTTGATTGCTGCTGGGAACAGGGTGCTGACGCTGCAGTTGGCCCTTTTGCCGTAGTTCCTCAACGTGTAGATGTCGTTTGTTTGGAACAGCACGTTGCAAGCTGACAGAGACAGTAAAATCAATAATAAATACAAGGCAGTAGCTTTTAACAATTTTATGAAAATCTAATCAAATGAACTCAAACTGTGCTCGTCGATATTAAAAATCTACGTATGCCAACCATTTAAGTAAGATTCCTAATTTTTGATATTGAGGGAAACAACGACTCTGCGGACTACATGCCCCGACATACCGACGCGCAGTTTAGCATTGAAAGCAACAAGTAGAAAAAAAAAACAAAAAAAACAATCAAAATTTATTTCAGAAAATGAATTTGAAAAAGTTTTATACACTTTCAGTGACATTGTTTGCTAATTTGCTTATTGAATTTAAGGCGATTAGTTCAGTATTTAACAAAAGTAAAAAATTATAATCATGTACGTAGATATAGACACGTTATAAATAATTAGAAAACTGCCAACGTATTCTATTTTTGTTGGAGACATTTTTGAATTCAGGAAAACCTGATGAAAACAGTTTTACTAGTTTACTAATGTTTATAGAGACAAAGACCATTACTATACTTTGTGCAAAAGGGGGAGTAATGTATTTTATGTCATAAATGTAGTAAACAGGTCGACCTTGTCACTAGCGTCTACCTTGACACAAAATAGGTTAGCTTTTAGGGCACCAAATTCACTTACACGAGGGTCAATTTCGTTGTTTACTACAAAAAGCATATTACGGCACAGGCCGAGACTAGCTTCGATAATAAAGATATAAAAGTTTCAACCGCCACCGGAGGAGCAATATAATAAAATATGACCTTCAGATGGTGAAATATTAGACGTAGTTTACTGCATCATCATGTACAGCGAATGAAGAAAGGAATTTAATTCCCGATCAAAGGCTATCGTGTTTAACGTGTATAATTATTTTAAGACATTTTTAGCTTATACAGGGTGTTAATGAGCTTATGTAAAAAAATTAAAGGGGGTGAAACAACAGCAAAAATTGAGCTAACTGATATCACAAACTTGTATCGCAAGTTTAAGGTCATAGAGAAATAATCTAATTGAAAATGTGTTTAAAACTGTTTTGGAACTGCTGAAATACATGTATTTTATCACGAATTGGATACGCCGCGCTGAAGCTTGTGTGCAAGCAAATGGTGGGTACATCGAACATCTTCTATGAAAATCAACAGTTCTCAAAAGGTGACTCCTTGCAATGTTGAGGTAAGTCAGATTTAAAAATTACATTTTGCTCAACACAAATCGGTGTATTTATCTTATTTTGCCTGACATAAGTTCATTAACATCCTTTATATATTGTAACAGGTAGAAATTGAATTAAGAGTTTTTAATTATAAAATCTAATAGAAGTTAAGTTAAAATACAACAAGTAATGACATATTGGATATATGGTGACAAAATAGTAAGGATAATTTGGGTGACAAAAACGGGATGAAAAACGACAGTGTATAATGATATGAAAATTAGAATGAAATCTGGGTATAAAGGAATAAAAAGTGTCCATAAAATAATGTAATGTGGTTAAAAAAAGAATAAAATGGTATTAAAAATGGTAAACTAAAAATGTATAAATTATAAAATAATCTGATTGGTTGAGATTGAAAACGATATATTAATAAACATTCTAATTAGATATAAGAGTGCGGTGAAAAAGGAAATAAAAAAAAAGTGGTGATCAAGGAGACAGAAATAAATAGTGAGGAGAATCAAGAAGTAAAAAGAGGAATTAGAAGATATACAAATCATAGCAATTAAAAGAAGTTTAAAATAAGAAGTGCAATAACAGAAGATTAAAAGAAAATCATATGAACTACCAAGAAAGAAGAGTATTAAAGAAAAGTAATCAAGCACAAAGTTATTGTGAGACATTTAAAAACAATAGAGAATGAAAAGAACAGTGAGAGTCAGGAAATAGGAAAGAAGAAGTTATTTGGCAGAAAGGGAATTAGGGTGAAGTCTAAACTGACAGATAACTCAATATAATCATAATACTGTCAAGTTAGTAAAACATCATTTTGAATTGTCGTAGCCATTTAGAAAAGGAACGGTGCAGTATGAGCCAAGGAGGTGATTCAGACAGTGGCAGTCAACGGAGTGGAGTAGATCACAGAAGAAGAACAAGACAAAATAGAGGAGAGTTCGAGTGAAAGAAAGGAAGGAGGAGATACAGGAGAGAGATTACAGAAAAGACATTACCAGTGAGGAAAACATAGACAAAAGGACAACAAAAGTGTAGTATAAGTAACAAGAAACTATAAGTTTATAGAATAAGTAATTAGCAATAATTTAGCTCAGGTTAGATAAGGAATTAGGAAGGATTTTATAAATTTATAACCTGTTATTATAATATACGAATTTCAAACTCAATTAAAACAATACTATTTTATTTTTTTAACAAAAGCAAAGAAACAAAATTAATTACATATTAAACATTTTCTTCATAATTAATTTCAAAAAGCTTTAGAACCGACTACTGAGATATCAACATGCTCTATAAAAATTTTATTATATAATTTGCAGAAAGTACACTAGTAGTCTAGTTGTCATTAAAATTATTA